ATGTTCACAGCCAGAACTACATTTAAGACATACCCAGCTTGATTCCACCGCATGAACCACCACAAAACCAGCAGTAAGTTAAAAATATGCGCCTACGCGAACTCCTTTCCAAAAATTGACAAAAGAAAAAGATTAATTGGAAATAATTTAGAATGGGAAGCAATACTCCTCGCCTCGATTCCCATTTTGTCAGGTTTAGTTTCCTGACGAGTTATATTCGATCTCCACTGAGAGTAGGAGATGGATGCATAGGAGAATACCCAAAACAATTGGTATCCTGCGCAAATTGTTTGAAGCTCTCGAAGCACTTAGGCCCGAGTAGCTTGTGTAAGAAGGCATTGTGTGACAATGACCCTCTGATTCGACGCGTGATATTTGCGTTGAGTCGACAATGTATGAAGTGGGTAGGGGTGGCTACCTCCCCACAGATGCACTCTGTGATCGCGTGCGGATTATTGAAGCGACGATGGTACGCTGCGAAATTGCCGTGGCCCGTACGGGCTGCAATGAGATGTCGTAACTGTAGCCTGGAAAGCCCCAGTTCTGGTGGTTTACGACGGCGCATGAGCAGATCTAGCTCACGATACCGTGACGGGCAAGTTTCATTCCACCAGCTGTCGAACAAAGTCTGTCGCTGTCGATGCAATTTTTGGTGTAAAAATGCTATTGTGGTGGTTGCTGGCTCAGTTTCCACGCTGGGAAGCGTTCGTTGGGCGGATTTGGCCGCTGCGTCTACTTCCTCATTTCCATGTAGTCCCGAGTGTCCTGGTACCCACTTTATTCTTACCTGAGCTAGCCGAGATAGCTCGCGAAACTTTCGTACTTCCTCGTGGCTGGTCGAGGACCTGCCCGTGCTCAGTGCATTTATCGCATGTCGAATATCCATCAACACATTAATACACTGCGTCGTTCCCTTCGCCAGGTACTCCTTCCCTCTTAGGTGACCCAACGCTGCTTTAAGAGCTTCCTGTGCCCCCATAATCTCTGCATCTAAAGCCTTTCCAACGTGCTTTATGCCACTTCCTTTTTGAAAAGTTGTCCCATCCAGCTTTAGGACAAACCCCCAAGCTGAGCGTCCGTTTCCTTCTGATGATCCGTCCGAGTACGCACAGATTTCTGACTTTGGCACATTAGTGATCCAAAGTTTACAGGCTTCTACTTGGTCTTTTCTCGAACCAACCTTCGAACCCGGCCGCGATTGATAAAATGGTGAGGCAAGAGGTTCCGCGGCCTCTGCCTCTGGTAGCTGTCTATAAGCACGCTGAGCCCGTGACATTTGAATTTCAGGACGCGCAGATTTTCGATTATGCTTCTTATATTTCCGCGTACCGACATTTGGGCAAACTGCAGCACGGATCCTGAGCGGATGGTGGTCGTCAAGTGTTTGCATTCTGGCAGAGAGGCGAAGTCGGTTTCCTTCGAGTAGGATTTTCCCGGTTGGAATTCCCCCTTCTCTATGAAGTACGGCGTTGGGGGTTGTCCTCATTACTGGTAGTGCTGACCTAAGACCCATTAAGACAGCCTTATCAATCATACTACATAGGCCAGCAGTGGGCGGTGTCACCATCCCTCGTACTGTTGGGCGTCTAAGGCTAGACCACCAGACATCAGCTCCGTACGTTGCGATTGGGACGATACATGTGTCGATCGCTTTAACCAACGCCCCAGGAGCGGCTCCTCGGTAGGCTGTATTGAAGCGACGCATGTGCTGTGCAATTTTTAACGCTTTGCCACACCAGGTTGTGACGTGGTGTTCGAAGTTTAGTCGAGGATCGAGGTACACACCAAGCTAGCGGACATTTTGCGACGGTTCTATGAGGCTTTCGTTGACATAAATTCCAATCGATGTTTCGCGGTATCGTCCGGGGAATTGTGCGACTTCGGACTTGTCTGTATCGAAAGCGACGGCATTATTTCGAGCCCAGTCTAGTAGGTTATTGACCTCGACCTGTGCTGCGGCTGCAGACTCTGCAATAGTACGGCCAAATCCAAGGATACCGATATCGTCGGCGTAGCTAAACATCAGACCCGGGGTTCCACTTCGCATGGGCTCTGCCATATATAGAAGGAAGAAAAGTGGCGAGATCGGTGAGCCCTGTGGAACTCCGCACACTAGCTCTCTCTTGGCAGTGACTCCCCCAGAGTATCGCACTTGAACCATCCGATTGGCGAGGAAGGAGCTAGTCCATTTGAGAATAGACTCCGGCCATCCCTGCTCCTGCATCCTCCTCACTAATCGATTATGGAGTACCGCGTCGAATGCTCCTTGAACGTCCAACGTTACAAAAGTAGCTGCCCATCCTTGAGAATATGCCTCTTCGATGTCGTGGACCACACATGAGACCAGATCCGTTGCTGAGCGCTTCGGCAGTGCACCAAACTGTTGCTGGCCGACTACATCATGGATAACTGCAAGGTGTGCCATCCGCTTAGCTAAGAGCCTTTCTAACCCTTTTCCCAAGCATGAGAGAAGAGCGATTGGTCTCCAACCTTTGATTGTCGTTGGGTCTCTATTTTTCTTTTGAAGGAGGACAAATTCAGCTAATTTGAAACACTGTGGATGAGTGCCAAGCAGAATGCAAGCTCGGAATAGTTGGGAAATCCAAGGCCCGATTGTATTCCAACACGCCTCCAGCACGTTTACGGAGACTCCGTCTGCTCCTGGGGCCGTATTTCCGCAACCAATGGTACAGGCTCGGACTTCTTTATCTGTTACGTCCTCTTCCCATGGTATCCGACTGCTGCTCGCGACTGTACATGGTGACAAGTCGTCTGATGCCTGAAATCGTGCCAGGAGGGAGTCGCGAAGGATCGTGGCCCGTTTTAATGGATCTGTTATCAACGTCCCATTATGATTCAGCGGCGGAGGGATACTAGCCTGTCTGGGGTTATCCATTCTCATTAGCTTGAATACATCAGTCGGCGTAGTAATTGATTAGATCTGTTGGGTTTTGAACTCCTTTTTCGAGGTCTTCACAACTGATCGGAGCTTTTTCGCGCTGAGTGCCCGTTGGCTGGGAGTTATCGCGCTTTTGTACTCAGCAAAGGCTGCCTTGCACTCTGGGGTCCACCACGGAGCAGATCTGCCGCAGCGGGCTTTTGGTCGTGTTCCTACTGCATTGATGGCATTAGTGAGATGGAAACAAATTTTCTCGGCATACTCTTTAACCCTCTCGATTGTGTCAAGAACTGGTGGTGGTCGGACCCAATATGCAATTACCTTGGCGTATCTGGGTAGCTTATCCTTTGTTACTCGGAGTTTTGCCTTTTCGGGTCTCATCACTGAGTTGCGAACTGGAATTTATCCTCGGATAGGGAAGTGATCGCTGGTGACACATCTACCACGATCTACCCAAGCACGGGCGCCGTCGATATTACTCCAAACTAGATCTAGCGTGTTCCAAGCTCGGTAAGTGGGCTCCCCAACAATATGGCAGGTTAAATGGTGTTTGTCTGCCCATTTTTCGATCATTTCTCCTTGTCCATGAGGACGTTCCACGCCAGGTTGCCAAGCCCAATATACCGAGTTAAAGTCCCCAGCAGCGACGGAGTTCGGCGGTGGAATCCAGTTGATGAGAGGCTGGATAGATGTCGAGTCATTGGGTGCCTTGTAGACGTTGAGAATAGTAATGCCGTTCACTTCTACCCAGCAGTAGTCTCTTGTAGACACAACATAAGGAAAGGTTTATGTTGCCGATATCTTTTTATCGTCTATCCGGGTATATGTCACAGCCCTCGGCCTAGCATTTTCGCCTCCGTTAGACAGATGATAGGTATATCCTGGGTGATCCTTTGTTGTGTTCTTTTGTTTATTCCACAAAAGTTCTTGAACAAGAACCACGTCGATACCCAGCTCAAATGCTCGGGCAAGCGCAATATTTTGCGTTACGCACCCTCTACCTATGCTTATTGACATAAAGCTTAAAGTAGGAGAGAGGCTTGAAGAGACCCATGGGGTGCCCTTCACAAAGATTTTTGCTGATTTGATGCCTCATCGACCTCGGCTATAGTCGCTGTAGCGTCGGACATGAGAACTTCAAAGCAGTTGGTCGATTTGAAACCTGGCTGGTTAGTGTTTGACGCTTCTGCGGCTGCTGTCATCGCTGCCTCTGCGCGTTTGACTGCTGCTTTGGCCCGAGTGACTGCTGCGAATTCGCGTTGGCTAGCCTGCCTGATGGTCTGTAGGTTTTCCTTGGAGGCCGTCCCAGACTTTGTAGGGCGAGCTAGACAGTCCCGACTATCTGATCTGATCGTGGTTAGCTTCATGATAGTGGTGATAGGGGAATGTGTTGAGAGATGAAGACGATACAGACCGCGAAAGCGATTGGGAATCCTCGTCGAAGCGAGGACTTTGTTACTCAATCTCGGCTCTGCAGACTCTACAGTGAGAGCTGGAGGTTCGTAGGGGACACCACTGACAGGTGTTGAGAATAGTCCCCCTACCACTACGCGGTATGTTTGCCTGCAAAAACAGTCAACCTTCCTCCGTGAGTACCCACCAAAGGGAAATTCAAAACCTTTATTTATCCAAGCACGCCTTCGTCATACGTACGCACCAACGCCGCGAGAAGCCTGGTTGTGTTTTGCCGGATCTGAACCAGCGATCTACTGTCTCAAATAGGATATGTGTCCATGCTATCCAGAATTTGATTTGAAGAACGGCCCAGATGATGTACCACCGTACCATCCAGCCATGGCGATATTTATTGTGTCACCTGCACTCGAGTCAGTGGACTGAATTTATATACACAAATATGACATAGCTGTACACATTGTGAACCAGTAAAATATTACCTTTTCATAATTTATATCGGGTGGATCTAGTTGGGCTCCCTGCTGATTACATAGCGGGCCGGGCTTCCCTGGGCCCAAACGCGGGGGAACCGAAGGCGGCCACCTCAGTGATACAGCTAGCTGACTAAGGAGTAGCTCAGGACACGAGGGAAGCTTGAGGTAATTTACTTTCTGACTTTCGCTCATTAACTCTAGTTTGTCCCGCTATGCAGCCCGGAGTTCTTCCAACCACATCCTTTCCAGAATGGGCACAACATTATGGAGTGGAGATGTCGACGCTCAAGCTAGCCTGGAGCCCCTCAGTCGATGGCTTCGGACTCGTGACGCAGTCGGCAGTGACCTCTAGCCAGTCGTCAAGCCCTGTGCTCCTCACAGTACCACCGAACCTCATACTATCAGCCCCGACTATTGACGCAATAGCCGAGGTAGACGAGCAGCTGCGTGAACTTCTCCATGTGATGCAGGCGATGGTAGGCTTGATATTATAGGACTTGATCAGCTTCCCCAGCTAATAAGGCGCGGGCTAGACGGCACGCGAAAAGATCATGCTCTTCCTGCTCCTACACACTACGCGCCCGGCACCTAGTGACCGCACCGGGCTCAGCGCTGCTTGGACCGAGTATGCTGCTATGTTACCGCGCGACGTGCCGGTTCCGACAATGTGGCCGGCTGCAGAACAATGCCAGCTAGTCGGGACCTCGTTAGCGGTAAGTGATAGGTCGACGGTAGTGGCGCGCGGCTAATTGCCGGCCAGGAGCCGCTCAAGGCTAAACTAACGGCGCTCAGAGCCGAATTCACGCGGCTCACTGCGCAGGCGCGACGCTTGTCTTGGTGGCACCAAGATGATTACAGCTTCCGCGACTGGCTCTGCCTCGATGCGTGGTACCGCAGCCGCTGCCTCGACCTACCAGCCAGCGGCCCCTCTCTTGTGCCGGGCCTTGATCTCGTCAATCACGCGACGCCCGCCGTCGCCTACTTTGAGCAGCTGAACTCGACAACGCCCGCCTGCCTACACCTCCGGCCTGGCGTCACGCTTGCCGCCGGTGCTGAGATCAGCATTGACTATGGCGCGACTAAAGGAGCGGCTGAGATGCTCCACAGCTACGGGTTTGTCGACCCTCTCGCCCCTGAGCCGAATCTCGTTTTGCCTATCGCGCCGCCGCCGGATGACCCGCTAGCGTTGGTCAAGTGCGCAGCCTACCGTGGACCACCCGGCCTGCGCCTCTTTCGCAAGGCCGGTTGCGCGCGATGGGAAAGCCCTTGGCTCGCTTTCATCTGTCTCAACGAAGAAGACGGCCTTACGCTGCGTCGCACCGCTACCGGCTCTCAACTTGAGGTGTATTGGAAGGGCCACGACGTGAAAGCCGCAACCGCCAACTTCACCACCCTCACAGCACAAGACCCTCAACAGCCCGTTTTTGCCCTACGCGTTCTCGCTATGGTGCAGACCGCGCTGGCCAAGGCGCTACAGGAGCTGGAACTTACTGAACCGTTCTGGACACCAACGGCATCACGCCCTCAGCAGTTGCGTCAAATCGAGCATTCCCTTGTGGCGGATCTGAGTGATACTGTTGAGGAGGAGGTCAGCCACCCTTTCCCTCACCCAGTAGTGACTGCTGACGCGGAGATAGATTGCCTGCCTTCTCGCTACAGAATGTGTGCAACAATATCTGGCCAATGCCTCCGGTCTAGACACAGGTCTGACCGATATCTCGTGATCGGAGACAAGGATGAACAATATCTAAGCTATGTTGGAAGCGCTTTTGGAGCGACATATCTGCCTTATTATATTGCCCACCTTAGCTTGGGAACGTGAATGGAGCAGTGTCACTGTGAATGGGCTGGCTTATGAAAGATGAGTAATCTATGTAAAATATATCAGCCTAAACATGACACTTCCAAGTGTGCTGTGTTCTAATAATTACTGTCAAGAGGTCGCCCGTTCAAAACACCTTCCCGCTTCATCTGCCGATTCCTCCCAAGCACAGTTGCAGCCCATTCGGTCAACGTAAAACCCCAGTGGCCCGCCACCAAGACCCCACTAAAGATATTAATAGCACGAACTAGGAACTGTAGAATACCATCGCGGCGCTCGACGATTGTGAGGAGCATCGGTTCAATATCATACTTGAAAAAAATGCCAGGAAAAGATCGCTCACCTACCATGAGCGATTGATCCGTGACAGCGTACTGGTTAGTCACGACGACACTTTTTGAATACACGGAATCGACCATGAAGTTAGTGGGCACGATTGAGAGGAAGTACTGGTACTTCTGGAAGTGATTGGGTGTGGTCGAAATGGTGCCATCAAGGGGGTTCTCGAGCGAGGGGTAGAAGCCGCCAAATGAGAGTTCCGAGATAATGTGGGAGAAATTGAAGGCTATATAGACCATCAGCGAAACTGACACTCTTTACGCGGCGCATAATTTGCCTACCTGCATGATCCAGATGTGAGCCTAGCTCGTAGTAGCCGTGGCCGCGCGCCGTTATGTGAAAGTCAGCTTGAACCTTGTTGACATCAAGGCTACCAAAGATTCGACAACTATCGCCTTTGGGCGGGTAGCCACGTATTTTAGGCGTCTTAGCGAACTTCGCCTTTGTGCCGCCAGCTGTAGCGATGATGTTGTGAACGTATTCCTCGCCGAAACCATCGTCGTGGTCGAGGTAATCTTCGCCGGTGATGGCGCGGCCCTGAGCATCCTTACCCAGGCCATGGATGCCCTTTTTGTGAACCCACTGCGCCCAATTGGTGGCATCGCGGCGAAGCTTTTCGCCCGCCAGTATTCGATCACCCGCCGCATCCTGCACATTAATATTGAGGTCATCGCAGGCCATGGCGATGACCATATCGAGGTTGATCTGCATGTCATGGCTAACCTCCTTCTCGACCGAAAAGCTCTGCGTCTCATAGCCACGCCACCAGCCCTGGAACTCAGAGAAGATGAGGGAGAACGAGATGCAGAGCATGGCTACCGTCCATTTTCCGCCGCCCGACGAGCGCGTCACGTACTGCGGCTTGGCCTTGGCTAGATGCTGAGGTGAGCGCGGGCCCTCAGAATCACTGCACAGGGAGGTACGACTTACGAAAGGCGTCAAAGGCTTGAACGATATTGCCGGGACGTGCTCCAAAGCTGTCGTCGTCGAGATGATAGGGTGCGATGCGGCCCATAGCTGGCGACGTTTTGGATGCGACCAGTGCGGGATTAAGCTGGGCAGTGGCCGGCACGAGCAGCAGTCCAAGAGTCCTGAAGTAGGATCGTTGAGTCGAAAGAGCTCCAGAGAGATCTGGATCGCGAGAGTTGAAGACACCTGGTCGCTGAGGATTGCTTAGATTCCTACTACCGGTGCTACCCGACGCTTAGCGATCAGCCTGTCAGACTGTCAGCCGCGATTACAGCGCGGCCCTTCTAACTTGTTAAAGAAGGCTTTTACGTAATCAGTTCACCATTTTGTTGTTGGACCGACGTCATGAACTTCGGTCATGTGGCCACTATTTTTTTTGCATTAGATTTTAATTGCGTATGCAGCTATCTAGCTATGACACAATATCAAAGAATAGTATAAAAAGATGACTTAATTTGCAAGAGGAGCACTCATGCCTCAGATTTCATTTGCAAGTACCGCTGCGAAGTTATGTTGTGTGGCCACTTTGGCCCGGTGTCTTGCTGTGTCGAGTTATGACACCTCTTGTTAATATCAGATTCTACTCACTTAGTTTAGATTAGATTAGATTTATATTATAGTCCTAACTGAGTCAATGACTATAGAGGACTCCTAGAATCTATATATAAAATACTAGCTACATTATATCCTTTCCAATTTTACGATTTTTAACTATGTTCTCATGGACAGTGAGGGTCAAGCCACTCACTTAGTATGGGGTGGATAAGAAGAGAAATACGGCAACTCTAGCTCTAGCAATACATTTTAGGCGGTCCCCTCGTACCCGCCCTCTGAGTGTAGGGAGACGTGCAAATTTATGTTTCGCATATGGCGGAAGTCATTGTGGCGAGACATTGGACGAGAGACCGCCACCAAACGGCGTGCCCCTAAGGCGTCGGTGATACAAACGATGATACAGACAGGAGCTATGCTTACTGAAGATGAAAAAATACGAGTGACGGTTGAGAAACTTGCATCAGTTCATCTAACGTAAGCTACTATGACGTGCAGCCATAAATGTCTCGACCTCATGGTGCAAGAATAAAGTATATCAACTAAGATGGAATAAATCCTTCTGGATTAAGACATAATTATGCTCTCAAGGTTCCAAGGGCAACAAGATTAAAGTTTTGAAGCCATGAAAAAATGCAAGTTAGGAATACAAAGACGTCACAAGCGTCTGCGGCACTTGTTTCCATCCATTCTCATGGATAGTACGCAATCGTATGCCGGGAAGGATACTTTTGGTTATTCATATTAACCTGCCCTTTCTCTGCCTCGACTCCGTGAGAGAATTTTGTGATCTCTCCCGGCCACTTAGCTTCGGTTTCAGATTTCTACCCACGGTACGCTCATCGAACCATTTCCTCGTTAGCATTGTTTTGATTAATCTGAGCAGGCCGTCTTGGCTGTTCTTTTGCGCCAAGGTCGCAAGTTTTTATGATTCACGCAAGATCAAGCACACCCTCTCAGCTTTTTTAGTATTAGACTCAAGTTCATACTATTGCAAACTGAACATGATTTTTTATCTTTTATCAAATCGCACACTGTGACAATAGTGATTAAGTTAAGGCTTAAATTAGGATATTGGTACACCTTGATCTCTTACATAAGACCATCTCAATTTGGACTAGATTATTATAAATATGGGACGGCAAGAAGTTAATTGAGGCAAAATGATCACGAATATGTTCTCTGACATTCGTAGCTAATAAGCAATGACGTCCGCACCTGTGATACACGTCCTATTTGAACTTGAGGTTCGATGTGTCCTGTTCAGATCAGGACATTCTAAGTCAAGAGTTATATACTCTCCTTCGACACCTATTACCCAAAACTCCTCAGTCCTGTTTCGTCTTCAGTTCATCACTTAGAGATGTATCGTGAAAAATACGAGTCTCTTTTCGTTCTTCCTACCTCCCAACACCTAATACTTATTCGCCGATACACTGATTCCATGAAGGCAAAAGCATCCTCAAGCACGGCTAGTACCAGCACCAGCATCGGCAAACGCTGCACCATGTGCATTAGACATCGTACGTATGAGAATCCTGTCCTCTAGATCCCCTAGCTAAAAATAGTTTGAGTAGTCATGCAGTCTAAGATTTGTTTGTCAATGTGTTGGAAAGATACCTGAAACCATCCAACTCCATGTATAATGACGAAGATATTAGCATAAATTCTGGGAAAGTTGAGGACTTCTACAGGTGCGCGTATCAAAGCTTTCGTTTGTCAATAATGATTCAATGTAATCATCTGTTAAGGATTGATAGAAAGCTGATGGTCGCCACGCGTAGCTGTAAATAAGCCTTGAGTGTATTTTTCATGTACAGTCATGGAGTAGACTATTTTTCGGCCAGTTGTAGCCTGTATCGGACCAGAGAGTCAGATTTGGGTTCTTGTCTACTTTCAGTTAGACGCAAACTTCCGTAAAGAGATTGGTTAAGGGACTTACAAGGTTCAGGGTGAGTTTTAATATATTTCGTAGTAGGATAGCCTTCTGGGTCACATGTTAATTCATCACCTTCACCCTGGTAGATACGAATGTAATCGATTCTCATGGTTGCGGGCATGAGCTGGGCCAGATTGTGTAAGAAAACAGTGGCAAAGCTATTTGACATGCCAAAGTTCATTACGATTGCCATAGGCTCTTCTGGAATAACTCGCTGCCCAACGTTTCCGTTTGGTCGAGTAGAGCGGGGGTCAATCTTAAAGGTGTAGTCGTCACCAACAAACCAGCTCACGTCCCCTTTTGAGCCAGGGGTGTATTCGAAGCCATAAACTTGGTACCCATTTCCATCGTACCAATCGTTATTAAGCCACGTCACGCCTGATAAAGCTTCCTGGTAGGGTCCACCACGATAAACATTCATACCAGTCACGTTGTGATCATAGATCTCAATATACTGGTAGTCGGGTTGGTAGAATATGTCAAAAGGAGCAGCTTGGAATGACTGCGAAGCCACGCCTGTGGCGCCTCCATATTCTCCTGGACCGAGGAAGCCACTGCTAGCCTCGAGAGCATCAATTTCGGGGGAGGATCTAGACTTTCCGGGCGAAGGGTGATCTTCGTGAGAACAGGTGCAGGCGGGTAACCTCATGCCTGGCAATAGGTTGATACCATCAGATTGGCTCTGATTTGGGGTAATACCTGCGTCACATTTATCCCAATAACTGTAAGGCCATGTTCCGTCTGTGGTTGCGGGGTACCCTGGCCTTCCCAAGTTTCCCATTGCCCAGAAACCTGGCCAAAAGCCTTGAATATCACCTCTCCCAGGAAGAGAAATACTGGCTTCTAATCGGCCTCCCTTAAAACATAGTTTGTTCCAAGACTGTACCATACCAGAACGATAGTTGAGGTTGTGACTTTGGAAAGCATCAAATCTTAGGTTAAGCGTTCCGTTGGCTGTACTGACTGCATCTGGATCATACCATTCGAGGTCCTGTGTTACACCGTACCAAATATCTACTGCTTCAAAGTAAGCGTCATCACCGTCGTAAAATGTGCGCCCGTCTTTGTTGAACTCATCAGAAAATACAAGGTTAAGCTTCCTGCCATCGTGCGATGTTTTAGAGTGGAAAGATTTGGGTGTATCGGGGTCAATTAGACCAGTTCTCTGGTTTTTGAGCAGGGCCATCTTATCAGACAGACAGATCGGACTTGCAGCGCATGCTCCTGATGTCGGATCAACAATTGAGCGCACGAAGGTTCTTCACTGTTGTCAGCTTTGTGAAAAGCGATTAGCTCTCACTGAACTTACAGCACGGGGTACCCAACAAACAAAGCAAGCACTCCCAAGCATATAAATATCAACCCACCTAGATTTGCCATTCCACGCTTAGTAAAGATATCACATTGGTCTCGATCTTTATCGCTGGGATCTGGATTATGAAGCCAGTCGTCTTTTTCCACATCTTCAGGAAATAGTAAGAGGCCTGCCGACGGCATTATATTGTATTTTTCTGATACTGTCTGGGTGTTTAGGTTATCATCATCACTCCCAGCTCTTGATGGTGCTCTTGAATCGTCGAAGGGCGATCCAAATGGGCCGTGCCGACTCTCTCTGCTTCCCGTGGAATCAAAACTCCCTCTTCGTGATGATATGGCTGAAAAAGTTCGAGATGGACTATCTATTGGTGAATCAAGATATTGATATGATCGCGCCCCACGTGGCCGTGATGGCGGTACAAGCATTTCGGAGGATTCAGCGATCAATGATGAGCGATAATTTCCAGGCCGCATGTTGGAGGCGACTGAACCTCGCTGCTGCGGTATAAGATTTCTCGAAGAGCCAGGAGAAATGACTGTAGGTGAACCTTCAGATTGTAATCCGTCTGAACCATCTCCTCGGTCAGAGTAATCAGTCGATATGTGCAATGGACGCTGTGTTTGTGGTAACCTATTCGACGCCATGGCGATGGAAGGATAATTGGTAGCTAAGCGTGCCTAAACGATCTTCATGTACTCTTAAAGTTGTCTACTGTGTGACAGTTCCCGATAAATTAGCTCAGATAAGTTAAATAGATTAAGAATGTGATGATATTGATAATTCGGCGTCTGACTGAAGCCAAAAGAAGTTGGCAGTGTAGGATTTGGACTTGGATAGAGGTACGTCCTGAAAGCCGTTTGTGGGAAGGAGGACGACGCGTTGGTAAGTAGTGGCCGTGTGAAGTAAAGCCTCTGGGAAGAGAAGAAAGAGTCGGTTGAATGCAGATGCGGAAATCCAAGTTGCGATGGGGAAGAGTTACATTGAAGGGACGAAAGGAGCGTTGATGGGGGGCACCTGCGAAAACAATCGTAAGTCCTGTCGCGAAACGAGATTAGGAAGTTCGTCTGGGGATATGGCGGGACTAGGCTACTTGTTTCCTCTTTGACTCGGCGGTCCGACAAGCGAGCAAGAAAACCGCACTAATCATGAAATCTAGAAGATGGCAGACGGATTACTCTTGGAAAATGGGAGACAAGGAAATGGTAGAAGAAAAGTTTCAAAGACTGTTCAATAGTGACAAGTCTTAATTTCTCGTGATATAGTGGCTGAGCGTGGAAGACTACAAACGACCTTTCCGTGGAAAGCTTTCACGAGATCATAATGTTTGTTTACCAGATAACCTTGGCCGCCTCACAACAAGCTGTCTTCAATCGAAACCCTGCCCAAATGTCTCTGCCGTAAACAAAACTACCAGCGACCTGACGAGAACTTCAACTTTCGATTGCCAGAGCCTTGACCCCAAGTAGCACGCCATCAGTAGCCCCCACCAGCCAGTATTCAAACCGGACGCGATCCAGTGCGATTCTATAGACGCGAACTTCTGACATTTTAGTAGCTTCCTTCACACTATCGACAATATCATGGTATTGGTTGTGCGGATCCCACTCGCTAACTTCCATGATCTGAACATCCGCGGTGTCGGGCTCAGGATATCCCACGAGGCTAGCAAAAGTAGCTAGAGGTACACTGTATTAGTCTGGCGGTCTGGATATTACAACGCTCTAGTATTTGAAGCACTCAATACTATACGACAAGAAATTACAACTTACACCCATCGGGCAGGACACCAGTTATTTTGAGTGCAACTGGCTCGAAAGGCTCGTCCACTTCGCTGACATAGTATTTGTCTTGCGCAGCCTGACTTAGATGAGACGGGATATGCAGATTTTCATCTAGGGACTTCAGTTCAGCTACCCGGCTCCCTTCTAACACAGTTGGTGATTCATCATTGACTTTGTTGAGGAAAGACATGTAATCCTCATCGTTCGTCATCTTGACTCCGTAGTGATTAGCGCAAACCGGGGACCTGAGGCTATTGAAAACACGGAAAGGTAAGTGCTGTCGGACTACGACAAAACGTCGCGCTTCCTTACAAAGAACACGAGGGATCCGGGCACCCAGATGTCCTAGTTTTCCAGAGTAAAATCGGACGGCAGCTCTGATTGGAGAGTGGAGGTCGCGCCGAACTATGCCTTCCGCTCGGAAGTAGAGACCTAATCTGACTGCGTAGGAAAGATTTCTTTTAAGAACCCTTGAGCTGCTCATGTTAGGGAGCTCAGAATAATGACTGAGAAAGTATCGTACCTAAGATCGGTGCAGGGCGTTAGTGGAGTAGATAGCTTGAAACGATTCCCCAATCTCATCTGTACCGGGTTGACGCAGGCGGACGTAGGGGGCAGGAGTCGAATGGAGGATCTGAAGGCCATGGAGAAGCGGTAGGCACGTGCGACCCAAGGCGCATGAACTTCGGCGCACCTCAACTTTCACATCAGCTATCTGACCGGGGTGAAAGGAGTGATGACGAGCTTATCACAAGGTTGCTGGAGAAGAATACAGAGCTCTGCCCAGCACCTACAGATTTTGACCCTGCTAAGCTTGAACTCAATTCGGATACAACGGCAAGATCTAGCACATAAAATCTGTATGATTTCGGCAAGGGCCAGATTGGTGGGGTCGAGTCGTTCCCCTAACCATGAGGTTCGACACCTCCCGTCAATCACCCAGCAGTTCAGCAAAGGAAAGGTCGTCTTCGCATGCAATGCACACCTGCCCACATGCGACGAATCTGCCCTTCTACGGCCCGACCTCCCCGCCGTTGACTACAACTGCGATGGATCAGTTCATTGCCAGTCCCAATGGGTCGCAAAGACTAGGACTAGTAGGCAGTATCCCTGATCTGTAAACAGAAGCCGTTTAATCGTCTTAGGGACGGGTACAATGCCTATAGGTCTCTAAATCAAGGATACTCAAAGTATACTTTGTCCGTACTCATCAGTAGTGCGGAAGGGCCTGAAAGGCAGAGGGCGGCGTGGCTCCCCTGGCGTTGCAAGGATCGGTGTCCTTTAGAGGCATGGTAGTCGCATAAGTCGCCTCGACTACATAGCTGTTCATGAAGTGTCTCATCTACAATATGTGGTAAGACGAAGGCTAACCACCCGCCAAATATACCCAGCACGAACCTGGAAATAAAAATCTAATTTAGGGCTATATTCGGACAAATTTCGACATTCAAACGAAGTTGGCCAACGAGGCAATGATTCAAAACATCAGCCTATTCCAATCCTTGACCCTTAACCGGACGCATCCCGACAGTAACTCCTTCAAGTCTACCAGTGTAAGCTAAAGCATTCTCATTCCAAGGGAAAACCCTCTTCTAAACTCATCTCTAAACCCCGCCTAGCAAGGAATATACACTGTAGGAACAATGACGTAGGGAACAAGTCCGTTAAGACAGGCGTTTGAGGAGACAACAGGAAAGATAGCCTGTATCAAGTGGAGAATAGGTACGCTTCTTGAAGATTCAGGAGAATGATCTCTGGATAAAGTTTCTTCACAGTAAGGGCAAAGCTTGTCCCACGGATTTGGTCGCAGAAATGGAGGCGAAATTATGAATACTCTCGCGGCTAAATTGTGCAGCAAGACATGATCCAATCTGATATCGCTGATTCGAATCCAGCAAGGTATATATACACTATTCACATTTCTCATGCCATAGTCGAGAGAGGAGCGCTTCACTTAGCAAAGATTAAGAAGCTACCTATCGTGATATACACATAAATGATAATAAACTTTAACTCTTAAACAAACACATACCATTACAGTATATTTAATAAGATGTGTCGTATACCGATTTTAATAATGGCCTGGTGGGTAATTGGTAGCTTCCGTAGTCTTTTAGACCATGAAAAGGAGTAGAGCTGTGCTGAATCAAACTGACTGCCAAACCAAAAATAAAGTTCGACCTATTTGCGTGAGTTATTAACTTCAAAATATTTTCGAGCATTGAATCTTGTTAGACCTACGACTCGGGATATTTAAAAATACTCCAGGATGTAGGATCCTCCTCAGCCTCAGCCAACAAATTCTCGATATTTTCATCGTCTCTCAATATGTTATCATATCAAAATTTCAGCGTTATCCTGCACTGGCATCATCATGTCTTGTCGTCTAGTCGTTACAGCGAATTTTCGCATAAGCTCTGCTGCAAATGATTGATCTCGTAGTCAAACATAAGGGGATGGTAGGATGACGACAGTGGCGAGTTGTGTGTCTGGCCCTTTCATACCAAGTTTGAGGTATGTAATTCTTTAAACAAGTTCCTAAAGGTCTAGTCTTGAATTAAATATTAATCATGATCGATTATTTAAAATATGATCAGGTGACATCCTTGTAGACTGACTGCTCGATGAAACTGACAACCATAACTGATTCAGGCCGATAATCCATCATATTAAATTGGTCCAACTATTTTTCCCTAGCTGAATATTGGCAACGGGGAGATATTTCGCGTCTAATTTCGAATACTCTATTGCTCTGTGATCGGCCTTCGCCGTTCGTTCCAGAGCAAGGGTGCATAAAGTTAGAATGATCCGTGGAGGAATATGATAATCACTAACCAAGCATCTAACCCAAAATGAGAGCCTCACGTTGGGGAATTTAAAATAACAGAAAGGGCCGGGCGTAGACATCGGTGTTAGCCGCCAATGATCCTTGGGTGAAGTCGCTCCTGACCCCTTTCCACTCGCGCCAGGTTCCGCCCCTGATAACGTCCGTGCATCACATCTCCTTCAAGCCATGAAATAATTTAGTGATACTCGACGGTAGAGCGTGACATGAATCAGAGGATGACACACGATTATCGGTCGGTCTCTCTGCTGGCCCTCATCCACAATGCATAAATTGATACCACTACCACATCAAATTTCGTATTTATCGCAATTTATGTCGAGCGCCAGCTGTCCGGACAAATCTCTCCAACCAGCGCGTCGTCTTGATCGGCGAAAGAAATAACCCACATAAGCTGGCTAAAACATTAGATGTAGGCGCACGCATAGAAAAAGCCGGGTCATCTCCCTGTACCCAATCCTACACAGCTTTGCCCCTGCTACTGGAACCAATAGCCATGCTCCCACAATTACCCGTCCCCAACCGGCACTTCATAAATGGCTGCTCGTCTCTAGTCTACCGTAGCCCCACTACAAAGGATTTCGATGCCAGATCATCGTGATGACCACTTTTGTTTCGTGCATGTCCACGTGAGCATATGGTGCACAACTCAGAAAGTAGATAAGCTCGAAGGCAATATCTTGTGATAGGTTAACTCAATAACTTTATTGATTATCGTCCGCTTCTCACAGATTTACGTTAGTAAGAGTCAGTGCGTTACTGCCTCATTACTATGATTCGTTCAATTATCATTTTTCATTTTCATTGTGGAGCCCTGCCTATGGTGTTAAGACTGAACTCGGGGAACTATATTAGTGTATCACTTCTTTAAGGCTAGTCCAGCTGTCTTCACAGGCCTCGGGTAGTCGCTACTTCTCCGAATGGACGTTGCTTGATAGATTCGCACGTTCTCTTTCCAAGTTTCCTAACAATAGCCAGGGGACTGTAATTTTGAAATTTTGACAGCATTACAGGATTTTTAGCGGGTGTGGCTTTTGGATTATCTGGCAAAGTTGGAGATGTGAGATTTTCAAAGCTTGTTGGATGTGGATCTATACATGGCAGCAGTGCCAATTGCAATTTTATTTATCTGTACGGAATTGGGAGTGTTCACGTCTACGATTCATCTATTCATCAAATCTTATCGTGAATTTCCTGAGTTAAAAGGTGCGAATCTTATTATTTGGGACTTGGCACTTTCGTTTTCGCCTGGCAGCAATGATACTGCCTCCAATACATCTCTAGTTAACAAAAATTAAGATATTTTTAAATTTATGCAGCAGATTGTATATCTTTCTTTAGAGTTCCCAAGAACTGGTGTTTCTCCTGTGGAGTCTGGTAGGCTCCATGACCAAATTTAGACGAGGTGTCGATCCATTTGAGCTCAACTTTTTCAAGAGCCTTTCTCGATGTGTGGACAAACATGGACTTTCGTAGTGTCATAACTCGCTTCTTGACACCTGGAGTTGAACCTTTTAGGATTAGGAAATCATTCTTCACCTCGCCATACCTGACAAATCCTCCCATACTATTTTGATTAGAGCTTGCTCATGTTTTGAGATAGGTTTACATACGGTGTGATTTGCTTTTTAGAAACATCAAACTCAGTCGATGCGTTAGCTTCGTCTTCACCCTTACCTATCCGATAAACCTTGTGGTTTACAGAGGTTCTGTGATGGTATCCGTCTTGACCAGCGCGGGCAACAGTCCATTGTACGTGAGAAGGATGCCACGCACCGATACACGCGACCTTTCTAAGACCTTTGTGGGTTTTCCTCGGGAGTTTCTTTGTCCCCCATCTGCTAGTAACTCCGGAGAAACCGTGACCTTTGGTAACTGCTATGACGTCTATTAACTCGTCCTGCTCAAATATTGAACCAATCTCGACTGGTTTCTCGAATAAGTTCCTCGCAAATGTAACCTTATCAGGAACTGAGCCACCGTTCACTTGGATTTCCATTAAGTGGGCTTTCTTTTGTTTGAGTGGAGTTTTGCTGATCTGCGAGTGTGCCAAAACACGTACGACAGTACAATATTTTGAGATCCGCTCCAATTCACGGTTGATTGAGCTTCCGGAGTTTTCCGAGTGTTTCTTAGCGTATTTGGTGAATGCCTTCTTTTTGCTTCTGTACCAATTTTTGTAGAATCGGCGCTTCACCTCGTCGCTCAGATGTTCAGCCCAAACGGTTGTGAGGGATCTGAGTCCTCTAGGAGTCTCAATATACCCAACGATACCAACAACGATCACCTATCAAGATGTTAGCCATTGGCAGTAGCCAAGCGGGCTGCATTGTTCGTACTGGTGGTGTCTCAATAACAGTCACAGCCTCGACAACTTCCTTTTTGTGGGTTTTTGCTCCTGGTCGATCTAAGTCTCTGACAATTGTTGTCATGCCAGCCTTATAACCAAGAGTAGCAGTTAAATGCACGGGCTTCTTAGGATCATCTTTTGGAAAACTTGTGATTTAAATTAGTAAGTCTTGTGTTTGAGGCAGATTAAGATAAGAAGTGTGAAGTAGGATTAATTCTTTAACTCACGACTTGACCTTTCCTCTGTGACGAGCAGCTCGCTTCCGAGGCAGAAATGCCAAAGAACCGTGACGTGGGGCTTCGAATTTGCGATGAGACATGCTGGTAGATATTAGCGATGCTGCTTGTAGTGTATTTTTGATTCACTTCTTATTTGGGAAAGACTGACGGGAAGAAGTTGGCGGTTTGTCGTAGCGCGGCGGACTGCGCAAGATTGTCGACGAAACTGTTTGAAGGCGGCTTGAAGATTTATTGTGCGAAATAAAATTTACTTGTGTGAGTGGTCGGCTAATCGTGCGCTAGTAATATGATGTCACGTGATATTAAAAACAGTTCCACGTTACATTAGCCGGGCAAGCTAATTATGTAATGCTGCACTTTAGCCCTGGCGTAAATTGTGACTTGGAGGCATATTCTGACAGATGCGTATCTTGATGCCTCAATAGGATAATTAGTCATGATCATATTTCTAAAACTTAAATTTTGTCTTTCACTAGGCGTTTATTCATCGATTCACTGGTGTGTTTCTTTAGGACGGCTGACCTTAAACTCTTATTTACACATTAGGCTTTTACGGGCACTGGTACACTACGGAAATTTAGACACAGGCGAACAAATATGTGCTTCCAAGATAAGTTTTCCGTCGGGCTAGCGTAGTTTGATTATGGACAAGATATGACTCCAACAATTCTCGGGCAGGCTGACAAAGACGAATTCTTCATTTACCACTATTGCAGGTGTACGTACTCAGTATCTTCTGCGTATCTAGTGTAGCCAAGACCAGCATTGCGATTGATGTTGAAAACTGACAAAAGGGTATCCATAATCGCCTACATATCAGCAACCCTAACCAAATCTCACCACATGTCAGCTCTCTTCAATTATCAATCAAGTATATACTAAAATTTCAAAAGGGGGTGAGTGAGTGATGTTTATTGTACTACTTGAGTCTATGACTATCTAGCACACTGGGCTCCTCTCTGAGCCAGACGACACCTTGTACAATGCTCCTTGCCTCTTATGTTTCTTCAAAGATCATTGATATATTTCCCTTGATGAATAGCTATTCAGCTCAGTATTTGCCCGTGGGATTCAGCCACCTTTTCCGCAGAATCTTCTACCCAAAAAAATAAAAAATAAAAAAGGAAGCAATGGAAACTGCGTGCGCGGTAAAAAGTCTCAAAAAAAAAAACCTGCAGCCCCAGCCAGGCGAGGCCTAGACACCGGGACCACATGAGGTGCGCATATTCATCTATATCTCCCTTCTTTGTAACAATTGAGGCCGACTTGACCCAATCCGCCATCGCCGTATCGGGTGCTGGGTACGCTCCGGAAACTCATCGGATGGCTTTTCCTCCATGATCAAGGGATGGTGACGAGTAGAGCTCCGACCCTACCATCTGATCTGATCGTGGTTAGCTTCATGATAGTGGTGATAGGGGAATGTGTTGAGAGATGAAGACAATACAGACCGCGAAAGCGATTGGGAATCCTCGTCGGAGCGAGGACTTTGTTACTCAATCTCGGCTCTGCAGACTCTACAGTGAGAGCTGGAGGTTCGTAGGTGTTAAGTGGCTAGGGATAAGCTGTACAAACAAGGAGTTGGATTAGGATACCTACGGTGGTCTGGCGTTATGGAAGCACTGACGACTTATTAATTACTATTCGCTTAATCTCATACACTAGGATATATGTAATTTGTAGACATATCCTTGCTCTTTAGCTTTATTACCTTTTAAACCTTGAGTTCTTGCTTGCCATATTCTGCGAGTCATAACAGTAGGGGACACCACTGACAGGTGTCGAGAAGAGTCCCCTATTTCAGATGGGAACTTGTCTAACAAATGACCAGTTATTCCCAGAACTAAATTGCGATGTTTCGTGTTCCCCATGAATGGAAGCAATTACTTACATGTAAAGCTTTGATTTTAGGTTATGGAAGACCGTCACTCAGGTGTTCTCCTGCAACTGGAGGGGGAACAAGGAGCCATGATATGGAATTTGAGAGGGAAGAGGTGTTGTGAAAGTGTACACTGTGTGACAGAGATATGTAGAGAAGATATTATTATTGATAAATAATGTAGCTCGTATATAATACTGTCTAACTAAATGTGTAGTGAAAGGTGTAATGTACATGATTTTGTCAAACACACCCATTACGCAAACGCCAAGGCTATGAACACGTAATTCAGATTCATAACAAGAGGCAGTAACTGGCATGCTGGGACTGTAATTTTTGATGAGTCTCAACTTTGGGCTGCTTGTCGGCGTCAAAGCTGCAGTTTTTGGTAATTTGCTAGAACATCTACTATCTATGAGTCTGCGGCACTACCCAGAAATAATTACGGCACAAAGAAGATAGGATGACTAATTTACCGCAAAAACGCTCTATCATAACTTTTCTGACCTTTGAAAACGGCCTTCGGTGAAGATATGAATCAATGGTAGATAGCTAGAGGTACTTTTTCAAGTGCACACGAGTCTGCACCATTCTCCTCGCCGACTTCTTCGAAGTTAGTCCTGACTTTGGTCCTAGAAGAGCCCCGCCTCAAGTGTTTTTTTTGTGTTTTCCCGGCTGCCATACACCCGCAAATGGCCATCATTTCGCTTTCTGGAAAGGGGAGATGCTGAAGGGCAAAGGAGTCCTCAAAGTATACGATCAAATGAGATGTATGAGGGATGGTAATGCTTGAGGAGAGCTAATTAGGGGGCATTGGAGAGAATATACAACTTACACAGATTATCCTAGTATGTAATCAGAGAGTACTTCAACAAACTATAAATAAATAAATAAATCAAATGCCATGATTTGACGCCTTGAGGCCCATGCAGGTTTTCATCGGAAGAAATGTACTCTAAGTAGGATCACTCAATTTGACATTTAGAACACTCACACTCAGATTTCATTTGCAGATACCACTCGAGATTAACCCTTACGGCGTATAACCTCTTCCGTGTATACCCACCACAGGGAAAAGCGTGAAAACCCTGTGGCTATCCAAGTGTGCTTTCATCATGGCACAAGTGCAATATCACGGCAAAAGAGAGTGTGGTGTGTGGGTCTGACTGGATTCGATCCAGCTTTCTCCTGTCTCGGATGGGGTAGGTGTTCAAGCTACCCAGTATCTACTTGGGAGAATGGCCAGGATGGTGTACCACTGCACCATCCAAATCTACATATACTATATAGGCTTAGACTGAGAATGAACAATGGCAATAACCTGATAAAGACCTACGAAAGGCTGGCAATGCAAATCTGTTACGATATGGAAGCACACTAGTGGGCATATACAGTTATGCCACGGTGTCAAGTTTTCAATGGAGCTTCGGCAGGGGTTTTAGCGTATAAATTAAGATGCCTTAGGCATAATCACCTTCCATATTTGAGTTAGCCCCCGTATTTGTGCAAATTTTTGAAAAATTTTGTTTGGCAGTTTTTATCTGGACATCATAGTTTGCAGTGGGTCTTCCCTTCGTACTAAACCTCATTTGTATAATAATGGGCTGCATAACATTTGTGCATTTTTGCTACTTGACTTTGTAACTTATTTACAAGAGTTCAAAGGTTTTCAAATTACAAAATAGAGCCAGTCTTATCCTAACCTTAGATCTAAACATGTGGCTGGAATATTTTCAGGCCTTAATATCTGGTCGGTCTCCCATCCGCATCTACCACAGCTTGACGTCTTGCTGGCATACTCTGAATGAGACTCACAAGATCTTCGGAAGACACGGAATCCCATGCCTCCTTTACAATGTTGCGAAGACTATCTTGAGTTCGCTGCTTTCCGCAACCCAGATTCGGATGATGAAGCTGGATGTAATCCTTCATCTTATTCCAAACAGCTTCAATCGGGTTAAGATTAGGCGAGTTGGCCGGCCAGAAAATCGGTTGAATGAGCTTCTGGCTCATATCTTCCACTGTAATTGCGGCTGCGTGGGCAGGAGCATTATTCTGCATTACGGAAAGCCAAGGTCTCATCGAGACAATGCCATCGATAAGAGGAACTATCTTCTCGCAATATTTTTGGGAGTTGATGGAACCCCATTTCTTCTCCCAAAACAAACAAGGGCCTTTTTCTGGCCCTGCGAAACAACCCCAGAACATCCATCCGACCCTATTCTTCGATTTTTTCTCCAGCACAATCAGCGTTGTATTCTTGGGAAGTCTAGCTCATAACGTTAGAGCATCAAATTACCATCTTCTTATTGAGAATGTACGAACACTTCTTGTCACCCATTCTCTAGAATGTCTTCCATCCTCTACCCAAGTTTCGTCTGTCCATAAATCTGACGTACAGTCTTCACATGTCCAATTGAGATGAGCTTCGGCCCATTCTCTGCGTGTCTTCATCGTTTTCTGAGATACTGGAGGCTTTAGACGAGCCACATGTCGCCGATATCCTTTTTTGAAGTTCTCTTTGTAATACCCGCTCGCTAACACCAAGATATCTAAAGGGGCTAGAGGCGAGTTCCAGAAATGTTTTGCGGCGGTTTCCAGTTGAAGACTCAACGTGAGATATTATCTCATAGACATCATCTGCTTTCATTCCTGAGGATGTTCTATTTCTCTTTACAGGGAGAAAGTTTCGCGGCGCAGTGAATAGCTTATTTGTCACTGAGAAATGCCTAGTTGCACGGCAATCTCCGTCTGGTTTTTGCCAGATTCATGGAGTCCACAAGTCTTAAAATGTCTTTTAATTTCAATTCGTTTATTTTAATTTCTCGACTCATAAAATGTTTTGATCTCTGGATAATTGTTTGATTCGAGATGTTGAAGGTGGGGTTTGAGGTGGATTCATCTGTATAATAAGGTTAGTATCGAGTAAAGCCATGTGTCTTCTGAATAAATAACTTTGTGTTCGAGAAATCCAATTCTTCTTGTCACTCAAGCACAAGATGAGAAGAGATGTGTAATTTCTTAGCGGTCGTTGGTCATAAAAGTGATGGCAAACAACTAGAGAACAGGTTGGATTTGCATAAAACCGAGGGTGACATGAAGTCCAATTGTGTGCTTGGTTTAGGCCTAGAAATCCAGGACAAGGATTATGTACCCTGTCAAATTAGGCGCTGACAGGGGCACAACACCTGAAGCGAATAT